TTAATCAAGATCCAATAATTGGGTCCTTGAGAAAATCCTCACTCTTAATTTTTTATGTATGTTTGGCGATAATTCTTTAACACGAGACTAAACATGCGGTATGGGCACGAACATTTGCAGCATTTTTATCAATCACAGTTAAAGAATCATAAACAGAAACGTGATGGGACTCTTCAAGAATACAAAGTAGATATTGTCAGCTTGGAACGCTTTTGCTTCCCATCAGCTTTGAAAAATATGATAAAACATCTAGCTGTCCAAACATCTGTCATTCTGTCACAAAATATTGGTATATGTCTTGTCCGCTGCTCTTGAGTATGAGGCAGCTACTCAGGCTTCTGAAGAATACAATAAAGTGAGGACTGTAAAAGAAGAAAAAGTGGAAAATAAACTCGACCAACTGGTTTACATAATGAAGAGTTTTACTGATAAAAAGATGAAGACGAAGACCATCAGGTGCTGGAATTGCGGTGAACTGGGGCATGTACGCAGTTCGTGTAAATGCTCGATAGTCATAAAAAATGAAGGAAACACGCCGAAATAAAACAAGAGCATGCAATTAAATTAAACTATTAAGTTAGCTGCGAAGTAGAAGGTTAAGGAGTACTGTTTTTTGTGGGGACATGTGACATGTGGTACTGGTTTTGTTTCTGTATGATTTCATCATAAGCCGGCTTCATTTGTGATGCTGAAATTTTTAGCAGTGAAAAAGGTGGTCATCCAAAGCCTATTACGAAGACAATCTTTTCTTAGTTTCATTATTGAAAACGTTTGTTCGCACAAATAGCTTGTACCAAACATAGCCATTATGTTTTGGATGTGGGCAAGTATATTTGGGTATTGTGTCCCAGCTATGAACTTCCAATACCACAATAAACATAACCTTGCATCAGAATCGCGTACAACGCCTGTATTCATATGTCCAATACGTTAGACTGAGGGTTTCGCAACCGGAAATCTAGTACATATTTAGAAAACAATAAAAAACTCGATGTACAACATACTGGACATCAAGGATATATTATAAGTTTATGACAACTGACATGCATTAACCTCTCTTATGCTTAAAAATAGCCCAACATTCGCCTATTCAATAAATTCAGTAGCATAACTGGTAAAAATAAAAGTGCTGAAATAGATACAATAAAACATTTTTATAATTTTAATTTGTTAATGCCAATATGTGTATTGTGTTTATCGTAGGAATTGCAATTAATTTGTATTGTTATTTCAAATTGACGTCTGTTGGTACAAAAATTATTTTCTATGTATAGGTAATAGGACTTTCCACATACTCTATTGTTGGTATAATATGAGGATTGAGAAATAAACTAAACGTTGTAGGTATTCTCCTTTAGTACGAAAAATATTAAAAACTGCTTGCATAATAAATATAAATTAATCTACCATAATAAGGCGACGATGCTGTGCCTTTTCCCAGAATTATAAATTACAATGGGAAAGCATCTGGCCGCTATCTGCGAGAAAAACAATGGGGTTCGGTTTTCCCGTTGTATATCGAGTCTCGTTGGGGAGCGCTGGAGAGTCTCTCGGGAGTACACCAAACAAGTTACAAACTCCTGATTATCCTTAAAAAGGCTTATCTGGGGAAATCATTTGATAGATCGGATTTTTAACGTTCGTCAACTCGGATCCAATTTTCAATGTTAAAAACTTAAATTATTTAGTGCCATTCTGAATATTTGCGAGTATTCTTATAGAATGTATGTTATACAGATAATAAGTTATGGTATTTTGTTGTATTATTACTACATGCAATTAAAAAAATATACACAGTGAACTTGAAAAATGTATTCGGAATGGATATTTAAAAAATTAGAATCGGCTATATCTAAAAAATCAAAATTGCTAAAAACTGTCTGCGGTATGAATAAACTAAATGATTATTAACTTACGGCCTTAGTCAACCCCTACAGAAAAAAAATAATCTTAAATATTATTGTTTTTTTAAAATAACTTTCTTAGTATTGAAATCATTATTTACTTATTCATTCATAAACAAATGTGCGTTTAATAAGCAATTAGTATGCAGGCATGATTTGAAGACATGAGTGGATAAACGGTCTATGTACATTTTTTTACAATGACCTATAGTAAAGTAAGAAACTTCAAACTCAAATATCTCTAAAGTATGTTTCTGTAACTTAGACCCTTCATCCACTTTGTCTTTATTTATACCATTAGAAAGCATTTTTAATGATTTTTTCAATGTTGTTTTCCAAGATTTGCTTTTAAGTTATTTGGATTTAGATTTTACAGTGTTTCTGTATTAATAACCTACGATGGTGAATCTGTAACCATACCTTGTATTTTAATCTTGATAGACTATACGCGCGCCTTTAATATGTTAAATTATAAGTAACTAGCAATTCTGCATTATATTGGTTTTAGAAACACATGTTCTCTACTTAATTATTCAATAAAGTCCAGCAGGTAAAACTAATGGTAACTTTTCTAACTGCTTGCCCTTTCTTCTGTCTCTGAAGGTAGCATTTTAGGTTCTTTACACCTCATTTTTGGATTCTAATCTGTCACATTGTTAATAATACTTATATGTTGACGATATCCATGTTTACTTACTCTTTTGATCCATCTGACATCAAAGATTTGGTTGAATAATTTAATGAAGATCTCTTTTTAATTAAATTAATATTAAATAAACATACTTGTCTACTTTTCTTTTGTAGTAACAAACAAAAAATTATTTATAGCTCAAATAAAGTTGGTATTATGATATGAAATCATTAAAATAAATGTTTCTTTCAAAACTATTGGTTTAATCATTGATTCAAATGCATATTAATGCAAACATTCAAAAAGCCTATGTCTATGTTAAATTAATTTTTCCTTATTTATCATTTAAATGTTGAAGCGAAGAGAATGCTTGCTGATTAGCTGGTATTTTTACACTTTAATCATTGTGACACGGTCTACGTTCGCTTCTTGGATCAAACTGATAAAAATAGAATTCAAAAAGTACTGTATAACTGTTTTCCTTTGATTAAAAATTTTAATAATCGCAATTTTTGGCCATCTACTAGATATACGAGGTTATATCCCTATGCTCCGCCTGTGACCTATTTCTAAGTGGTGGCTTGATTAATGTTTTAAACAGTTAGTTAACTGACTTTTATAGATCATATCTACAAATTGTTAACTGTGTTCCTCAAACCATTGTTGTGCTATGGCTAACTCTTGAACTGTGTGTCGTAATTGTTCATAAAAATGGATCCTGTAGAACAGAGAGCCTTAATAAAATACCTCCGAAAGAAAGGCATGAAGCTAACTCAAATTCATGAAGACATTGTGGCAACTATTAGGGAGTCTGCAGTTTCTTATGACACTGGTGGAGATTTTAAATATGGAAAAACATCCTAAGAAAATCAGCATGGCGGTGATCCTCCCATGACGGTACCAATAGACAAAAACATTAAAAGGTAAACGATATCGTACTGTAAGACCGACGAGTACGCATCAGGGACATTTTTTGGAAGATACTGGCTTATCATATCATGTGGTGCACCACATACTGAATAAAGAATTAGATATGAAAAAGATGAGGGCAAGAATGTTAATTATTGATCAAAAAAGAAATTGGGTGTTGACTTGTGAGCGACTTTTGGAAAAATACCAAGCAAACAAAGAGAACTTTTTTAGTCGATTTGTTACAATGGATGAGTCATGGATGCACCACTAAGATCCCGAGACCAAAGCGCAAAGTAAAGAGTGGAAACATCGCGGTTTTCCTCTTCCATGCAAATTAAAAGTTGTTTAATTAAAAGTCTACTGGAAAGGTTTTGCTGTGTTCTGGGATGCTCAATGATTCATTCTGACTGACTATTTGAAAAAGGGACAGAGCATTACATGGGCCTATTACGCACAATTGATTTCTAAATTACGAGACGCTTTTAAAGAGAAACGTCAACGGTGTGCTGTTCCATCAGGATAATGGTCCTAGCAATGCATTTTGTATGGCCGTAGCAGCTACACACCAAACAATATTTGAGTTAGTAAAGCACCCACCATATTCACCAGATCTCGCCCCCAGTGATTACAGGCTGTTCCCCAAATTAAAATAAAACTTGTCTGGGAAAGAATTTTCTAGTAATAATGAACTGGTACAAGCCGTACAGAGGTGGTTTGCAGATGTCGGACAAAATTTGTGCATAAGTGTAGAGAGAGACTATATCAAAAAATAAAAAATATAATGCCACTGTAGTTTTACAGTAAGGGGGACAGAGGTGCAGCATAGTGATCCAATCTCGTATATAAATTCAATCTATCTGTAGCTTGGTTTAAAAATGAATACAAAAAAAATGTATAGTGAAGAATCATCATAAATTTATATTTATATATGTTTATTTACATTTTGCTTCTTTACCTTGAGTTAATTTAGTTTTTATTAATGTTTTCTCTATCTAACCGTAAGGTTAATGTGGTAGAGAATTTGTATCCGGAAATAGCATTAGAGTCTTTACCTGCTATCCTTATATATAGGTACATATAATTATTTTTGTAATCTTCTGTGCTATTATTTTGACGGATCTTTCTTTACACCACGTCATTTCAATAAATTAATTGTTTAATGAGAACTAACTTGTATTTGATGCTCTCAATTCTGTGGTTTGTTAGGAAATTGTGAACCATTCTTATGCCTACCGCAGACTACAAATTAAACTACGTTCCGATTCTCTGATTAGGTTTACAGCGAGATCTCTCTAAAACTAAAGTAATGTGGCCGAAAATGCTATTAATGATCTAATTATATAAAACGAAAGAGAAGAATGATGAAGAAGACAACCCAAGATAGAGTGATACAGACGATGATAGAGTATTGCAAGAAAAGTTTTATACATACTGAAGCAACCAAACGGAGTATCCAAAAATGTTTTGCATTTTATAGAACAAAGATAACCAGTTTCAATAAACTTGTTACAATAGCGAAAGAAGATAAGATTTTCATTTGTAGCATCCCTTTTTTAATTATGAAATACCACATAGGCCTTTATTCGAGTCTTTTCTTTCTTATGCATGATCTTGGTGATACATTTTGTAGTATTATTCCACTTCTCTTGCTTTGCGGTCATGTTTTCCACTATGTTTTGCGGGATAGGAAGCTCACTGTCTTCCGTATCTTTGTCTTCTAAAGTTTCCAGCAGATTCACGCAAAAACGTGATATACCTAGAACAACATTTACAGAGTTAACCAATGTGAATAAACAATCGGCCGGTAGTTAGAAGTTTTTTTTTTTCAGTCGAAAGGAAATCGGATCTAACTATTTTCATCGGCCGATTTCTGATTATTGGGTGTGTGTGCTATGTCTTCATTCAAATTCAGCAACTAACTAAACTATTTACGGATCAAAAGTCTGTAGCCTAAGATAGGTCTTTTTTGTAGCAGCCGGTCAAAATTATCACAAAATATTGAGGATCTTTAATAGCTAGGAACATGGACAAAATCTAAGATATTGGACTTAAGAATCACAAGAAAATTATTTTTCCCAAGACAAGTGAATATACAGTATACCAGTATACAGAACCAGACAAAACTTTCAACGAATAATCAGATACATATCTAGTGGTCTTTAGGAAACGGTTTGGAATAACATAAGTAAATGAGGAATCAGTTGCAAGAAGAGAAAATAAAAATAATATTTCAATACTATTTCTTAAAATATAATTTGATCCTGGTGCACTTGTCTCAACAATGCATTTCATTAGCGCCACAGAAGAAATTGACTTCTAATATTCAGTTTCGGGAAAATCTATTCGCTAGGAGCAAAATCTGGCGAACAGGGTCAATGTTTTACCAACTGGAATCCGGCTTGAGCAGCAGCCATTATGACATAAGAGGTAACACTGGGAGCATTGTTTTGATAGAATATCACACCTCTACTCAATGTTTTACGATGTTTTTTTTCAGTTAATCCCAAAATGATCACATATACCACCCGATTTAATTCAGAAATATTTTTTTCTGCAAAAATGTAGTATAGAACAATTTGTCCAAAATTTACGGCAGCCTCTAATTAGGGACATAGCCAATCTTAAGCAACGCTTGGAATTATGTTTGAAGCAAGATAATCATGTGGTGCATATCACACATTAATAATTATTATTTCCTTTGCCTATACAGTTTGGTCCAATGAAAAGTATCCACTCCCCTTTTCTTGGTTCCCTCAGATCTAAAGAAGAAATGCTCGGACACGATTTTTGTTTGGAGAAGGACACATTTTTTTCTTAATTGCATTATTGACACTTCAATTCTCGAGCAATGGGGTGAACAACCCCTAGAATTTAGATAGGGAAAATACTAAGTGTGATACATTTTTTAAAAGGTAGTTTTATAAGAAATTCAGCATTACCAATATTGTTGTGTTAATTTCGATTTTAGCGCCCTCTTGAGGTATGTATTTTAATTTTAACTACAAATAAGCATTGAAGGATGAGTATAAATAAAATTTAAGCACAACAGTTGCAATGGGGGACAACAATAATGATTGTAATTGCTTCTTGTTTGTTTTTATTTACGCCGTGACTAGCAGTAGTATTTTATAAACCTTAGAAGCAAATACCTGGCTACGACAACGGCCTGGACACAGCTCACCTACTTTGTCAAAAGAAGACCGATGTACAAATAAAACGCGTACGACATGCGCAAGAGCCGTAATTATAATGTTTTTTTAGTCAAGTGCTATTATATGACTAAACTCTACTGGATGTTATTGAATCAATTGATCTTAAAAATACACAAATATATATTGTTGATAGTAATATAAAGAATAACTGACTTAGCTTGCTAGAAAGCCATTCTCTATAGACTAAACAAATGAAGCGAATATAACAAATTTAATGTTTAGTTAAAAAATATCAATGGACACTGATTATAATAATTAATAGTATTTATTGTATTAAGAAAAATTATGACAGTTTTATACATCTCTATAGCTTAACCCTAATTAGATTAGAGTTAATGATTAACCATTTAAGAGATAAATAGATCATAAAGGAAACCAAACGTTATTGCAAAGTGGAAATTTTTGAATTGAAATCAATCAATACAAATGTATAGAAGCACTAAACTCTAATGAGAATATACAACTTAAATAAAAAAAAATGGCACGTTCTTTGTACAAAAAGTTTCTCATGAAACAATCTTTGAAACCACTTCGATCATTCAAACACATTTCACGCAGAATCGAGCTTCAAAACAAACGGGAGTGAAACTTCTGAAAAATCTGGTCTTGATATTCCCTGATGGGAAAGAAACGAATACTTTTCATAAAGTAAATCGCAGTTGTATTGAGTGACCTAAAAGTTCAAAGCAATTTTCTTTCGATTACCGCCATTATGTGGCAGAAGTATATGTGATTCGAGTTGAGCAAACACTGCGAAAGAATAGCGAACTTCTTCAAGTGGGAGGGGTGAGATTTGCAGGAGCGGCCCTCGTTGAGAAAGGTCTGTAATACAACAATACACTTACGGAATAATGGGTTTTAACATCTGTATTTACAGGATACAAACTGACAATAATTTAGATTAAATTTTTTATTTTATATTTTTAATAATAGATTATAAAGTACGTTAACCTGCGTATTAAGCAAAATATAGATGAAACGCTTAATTATATTGGTCGTTAGAGGCATCCATTATTGGATGCACGATAACACCTCTACTCGTTGTGGGATAGCATATATTTTTTATCTCTGTTTAATAATTTACACTGGCAAACGAATGAAGGATCTTAGAATTTATTTTAGTACAAACTAATGTTGCATGGGTACCTGTAAGATAAATTGAGAGGGATTGTAGGGGGTGATAGAACGTATGTGGTGTGGTGTGCTGGCAAAAGTCGAAATCTGATGATTTCAAATCCAAAAATTTCACTGTCATTTTTATGCTTTAGTAGTACAATTGCTAGAGACGCCGAGGCTCCCTGGCCGATGCTCTTATGTTCACTTTTCCTTATTTTTTTAGCTTTTTCAATATTTCTTTGGTTCTGAGGGAAAAGCTCATTAGATTAGATCAGGAGTTAAACGTTGTTTGTCCTTGTCCTCTGCGACCTTTTCAGATCTATTGTGGGACTCCATTTGTTTTAGAGTATGTCGTCTAGCTTGGCCTTTTTTATTAGACTTAGTAGCTTTGACAGTGGCTCCCACATGTAATTGCATGCATTTGCCTTTTCTTCGACCAATGTAAAAACTTCATTCCGGCCAGGCCTTCACATTGGCACAGGACGTGGAATGATGTTTCCTCTTCTTCTTCACTGAACCTGCACAAAGTTGCTTCTTCTGCTGGATTGATGACACTCATGTGCCTTTTAAGGTGACAGTGTCCAGTAAGAAGACCTACTGTTATCCTAACGATTTGACGCTTTTGATCCAGTAGGTCTTTCGTGAACTTGGCCGATGGTTCCTTGATGAACTATTTGGCCTGTCTCAGTCTTGGATAGTTGTTCCACCATTCCTAAGACTTTTTTTGCATCCATTGTTTGATGGATGCCTTGTTCAATTCCTTAGCAACTCCACAGAAGGGTTCGGGGCCTGTCATAGCCTTATCTGAACCTTCTCGGGCCAAACGGGTCGGCCTTTTTGTTGCCCTGATATCCCTCATGGCCTAGCACCCAGGCTAGGGTCACCTTGTTTTGACTACTTAGCTCTGTCAGGTCTTCTAGACAGTCTTTCACCAGTCATCATTTAATTTCTGGTAAGAGAATTGCATTTAGAGCTGTTTTTATATCAGAGTATGTGGAAATAGTTTTGCCTGATAATTGCTCGTTTAGTATTTCTCTTGCACAGTGTTGAATGGCTATTAGTTCAGCCTGGAACACTGTTGCATATTTTCCTAAACTCAGCGAAATCGTTGTTTTCGACTTGGGTCCATAGATGCCAGCACCGGCTCCTTCCTTGATTTTTGAAACGTCTGTGTACCAGACGAGTTCAGCCTGTACAGGAGGTCCCTGTTTCCAGGATTCTCGGGCTGGTATTTGAATTTGAAAATTTCTTTCAAATTTACTTGCTGATATATCCTTGTGTGGTCGGCTTTATATAGTTAGTTTATTGGGTTTTGTCCCTGCATTAGCCTGTGAATAGCTGACCTGGTTTCTCCGTGTATGAAGATATGCAGTGGCGTGAGATTTAGAAGCTCCTTATCATTCACGAATTACTGTAGCTTTAAGTCAGTTTCAGGTTGGTTATTTGGTAAGGGTTTACTTCAATTAATTTGTTTCTCTTAGTAAATACATTTGTCGTGTCTCATAATTACGTATCTTTGATCCATCCTATTCCTAATTTTTTAAGTTGCACTACAAGCCACATCTTCTAGTAACATCTATAGTTATTTTTGGTAACATAGGTTAAGTTGTGCTTAAAGAATTAAAAAATTACACTTCACATGCTTTAATGTATCAGAACCAAACGTAGTGTTTATATATTTTAAGAACCAGGCTAGGTGGCAGCTAGACTTGTCCAAGTTACATTTTTACTACCTACACTAGAGACAATAACATGTTTATACTCAGCTAGTGTCAATGTAGCAGTGATAAAGAGATATAATATGTTACATTTCATTCTACCACTTTAGATTTGACACAAATGTAAACATTTCTTTCTTTTTCTCCAAGTGATGTTTTGCACTTTAGACCAGCTTAGCTCCCACCTGGCCGAATGTACTCTCAGTATTGTCTACTGTCCTAAATTAGCTTCTAATCGGTTTGGAGATATTAGACATAAAAGTTGTTTGTTAAATTTTTTATATGTTTCGTCGTAAAAGACATTATTTATAAGCTCATTTTGGTACGGTTTTCTAAGAATGACGTGTAACTTCTTGTTCGGTTCCTTTGGAGTATATAGTACCACAAGGGTCAGTTCTTGGATCACTACTATTTATAATTTATATAAACGATCTTTTTAACCATATAAATTATATAAACTCTATTATTACGTTTTTTGGCGATGCAAGTCTCTTTCTATCCCTTTAATTCCACTCAAGGACTACTTTTTATTACATAATTCGGTAATCTTACTTGGAATTTTACTTAATGACTCTGTAGACAAATATTTCTAGTAAGGAGTCTGAAACAGTATCTCAGCCGTGAAATAAAACGTACTGCCTATTTTTGAATAATTCATAGGCTACCTTAGTTATGGTAATTGTATATGTGGGATAAACTCATGCTTTGCATTTTTATTTTTTTTACGGAAGTTAAAGCTGTAAGAGTGCTTGGCGGAGCCTGACTCCGTATAAAATAACGAACCTACCTGGAATTTATATTTTTCAAAGCCCATCGAAAATTTAGAAAAATATTCCAAAATAACATTAACTTGCACAATACGCGAAATGCTAATTGTTTACGTAAAAAGTTATACAGACTAGAGGTATCCGTTTATTTAATAAACTGTAGTTGAAATAAAATATATCCTAAGTTTATGGTATGTTATGTTGGGAATGAGGTGTAAATATACAGCGACCTAAAATATCTATTGCGCCTTCTCCTGCTGATAATGCAACAAGGAAATATCTCGTGCCTATAACGGCCCTTCAACTCCTATCTTTTCAAGGAATTGTAGGATTTGGAATTGCTTTAAGTTAGATAAATCTTCTATTTGATATTCCCTTAATATAGTGGCCTTGGATTTTGGAGTGCTACACATTCAGTCAAAATGTTAATGGACGTTTCGTCCTCCTCCTCACAAAATCTGCACTCACCATCTTCTACTATTCCCAGTTTACTAAGCTGTACTTTGAGTCGGCAATGCCCGGTAAGGAACAATGCGTAGCCTGTTATTGCTCAGGCAGATAAAGGCTTCTGATCTTTTCTGATCATATTCACCCAAAAGTATCTTAGCCTGTCTTAGCCCCAAGAGATTCTTCCAATTATTGGTCCTTCTACTGCCCAATTCTATTTTAATCTCTCCTAATATTGTTTAACTGCTGATTCCGCTGATACCACCTAGCTCATTCAGTTTAAAAAAGCAATCAATACTAGGATCACTGACAATACATTTTATTTAGTAGATTAATATTTTCAACGAAATCTCTGAATTGTATTATTAAATTTTACACAATTTGTTAATTTCATAAGGACTAAGACGTGCTACAAATATTGTACAGATATTGTTGGGTATTTAAAAATAGTGGTCTATTAAAAAAATTACATGAATAAAATCATTTAACATTTGTTCAACACATTTATGAAAGAACCCTGTTACGGTCCTGCAAGGGCGACCATTTGCTGAAGGACCGCTTCGCTGCCGGAAGAGTGTTAAGAAGCAAAGAATTTCCAAAGTTTTACCCGTGAATTACCTCCTGCCATCAGGGTAGTTTTGGGCAATTTATCAGAAGGTGGAGCTAATAGGCAACTCGCAATGGTAACCGGTGAACTAGAAAATAACCGGAGAGGAGGATCTTGCATGTTCGAAAACTTCATGGGAAAATAAATGTAAGTAGTTTTATTACTCTCCGGCGAATAGAGGATATAAAATGATCTTTTAATAAAAATTATTGGAATTAAATATTTTTATGAAAATATAAAAATAAGGAAGTAGGTATATAATAATATACATATACTGCTTGAGGGAGATTAATGTCTTCTCCTACATATTTAAAAATATTTTTGACTGATGTACGTATGAAACTGTACTGGTTTTCTTTAGATTAAATTAGGGGGGTATCCATTAATTACGTGAGGTATTTTTAAGCATTTTTTGACCCCCTCCATCTGGTGAGATTTCGAAAAAATTCCTCAACTCCTCCACCCCTCCCCTAATCTTACGTGAGACTTTTCAAAATTTGTGTTTTTGATGTAAATGCGTTGGATTATTTAAAAAAAAAACAATATGTTCTATTACTTTTTTTAAGACTAGCAAAGACTAGTATTCTACTAGAAAAAAGTACGTCAGATTTGCAAAGACCCCTTCTCCCCCAAATGAGCATTAAAAAAAATTTGCTCGATCGCCTCCCCCCCTTGAAAATCTCACGTAATTAATGGACGCCCCCTTACCAGCATCATTTAACAAAACTCTTTTAATTTTAAATACTTTGTAAAAACTTTAACATCACTGTACTTATTTACATTTTTCATGCTTATTAAAATAAAATTAACTGAGAAATGCATCACAGCCTTTAGGTTATGATAGATTTAAACAAAAAGCGAATAATTTGCAATATGGCAAGGAAACGTTGGTCTAGTAAGTCGTTGCGATGAGAAATTGATTCTGTTGTATGACGCCACGCTACGGCCAGGTGGCTTACCGCGCTGATAGAGTCAACCAATCATCTGCGAGGTAGGGTTCACGTGACAACATCTGCTACCAATTTGTGGTTTTTGGCGAAATATGACGCAACGCTTTCGAGAAGTGCCAGTGGCCTACTAAATCATATGTTTTAATTCAAATATATGTTAAAGGTTTCTTCAACACTGCTAAAAAGTAATACCATGGGAGAGAATACATGCCTATTATTCATGACTTTATGAAACCTTTTGATATTGAAATATCGGAAAGAACCGTGAATATTATTATTATTAATAGTACTGGAACAGGGACTTGCATAATATATGACATAAAGACTGACAACAATCTTAATAATTCTTCGTCGATTTTTGCATTTTTTTTTATAGCTTTCTATTGTAGTTTTTTATTAAACATTTTTGATGTGTACCTATGCTAATAACATTCATAATACCATCTATTATACAGAAATAGAGATATATAGCAACTTGGGTTCCAGGAGAATATCTGTACACCCACGGCACTCAGGCCTCAACAGTCCCATTAAGCAGCATCTTTCTTAGTAAAAAGGCACCTCCTAGCTCATGAGCCAGTCTACAGATTTAATGTAATTGACAATGTCACCAAAAGGTGCTTCTCTTATATCGGCCAATTCCTCGCCGAACACAAATATATGAAAGTGTCGATCAATCGCAAAGGATATTCTTGATGATCATATCTTTTTGTTTGCCCGTCCCCATCGCAGAGTACAAATTCTGACAGCCCCAAGATATGGAGATGGTTTCATACTTGGCAATGACCACTCAGAATGTCTGTGATTGGTCGCAGATTCTGTCTAGTCATAGTATTTGTTTGGTGTAATGTCGTCAGGATAACCTAAAAGCTTCCTGGAAACTCTGCAGCTTCTTGTTTCATCCCACCTTTTCTTGAATTTCTCAAGAAAATGTTCTTTGATTAGGTTTGTCACTATCTATGTTGTTGGCTGCTTTCTTGGCTAGTGAATCAGCAAGACGGTTATCTTTTGATGTGATATGACCTTTGACCTTACTTAAGATGGTCACATTAATGATGGATACTTCGGCCAAACTTCGTGACATTCTAGTACTAACTCTGAGTAAATTCGTGGTCTGCCCAGGGTGAGTAGTGCTTATCTGCTACCCGCATAGATAAACATATTCCTTCCAGTGATATTGGTTCTGGTGATTTCTATTGCTGCTATGAGAATCACCAGCTGTTCCAAGAAAAATTGTAAAATTATGGAATTGCAAGGATTTCCTTACAATTAATTACATCCTGTTTAAAAAATAGAAAGCAAATAGACCGTTAAAATAATGTCTTTGGTTAGGAAAGAACCGTGGCGTGTGGTGTACCTCAGGAAGCGGTCTTAGGTCCTCTTTTCTTTGTTTTTATATAATTTAAATTTTTAACTTGAAAAGCACTTCAACAAAAAATTTTCGGATTATACTACGTTAATTTAAGAAGAGGATTTTTTGGCAAGGGGCAAAAGAAACTGCAAAAATATTTTTAGTTAACGATTTAGTTAAGTTAACGATTAATTACAAAAAAAAAATAAAGTTTTGCCTCTTTGCTAGATATATAATCACTCGAAGTTTACCAAGTAATAAAAAATATAAATTTATAGTTCTTTTGATTTTGTATCATCTGTGAAATATCTCGGAATACGCAGGATTCTTTCTTAAAATGAGATAAATACATTACTGAGATTGAGAAAAAACTAAGAAAAAATATTTTTCGTTTCTATTAGCTTCGTTAGTTTTTGGGTTACAGTCATCTTAAGATTATCTACCATGCATTAGTAGAGTCAATCTTGCAATATGGAATGGGGAGGTGTTAGAAAAACGTTTTTATATTCTTTGGATGTAATCCAAAAGCAATTTCTTAAAATAACACTTTATAAGCCAAGATTTTACTCCTCAGATATACTCCATTTAGAAATTAGTATTTTAGATGTTTGATTGTTGTACTCGTATAGTAAAGCTTTTCTACTTTTACTGTAAAATAAGTTCGATAAGTTGTATATGTTTCAGCTGAGGCTAAAAATTCCTTAGTAATGCCCTCAAAAATATAGGGCAAAAAACCTTCTGTTGTAAATAGATTAATTTAAAAAAATATTTTACCACTATAGTAAGCATTAATAAATAAAGATTTCCAAAAAAAAAATATTTGCGTGGCTACCTTGTGTAGGTCGCCATATGTTTGGGAAATTGATTAATCAGACATTAAATTGAGGGTGTTGAACGTCTCACTTTTGCCCCACGTTGGGCGCCACAAGTAAAAAGTAACGCTCACTCTCGACAGAGAAAGTGTTATGGCTCAGCTATTTATTTTGGTAACTCATAGGGATTCGGTTCAGAACCACTCTTCAATACCACTATTAACAGAAGAACCACGGATATCGAATTACCGCAATCCTATTATTTTCGAATCCAATTAGCAAAAGAAACTCAACACTCAACGACGGTAAAGATATCTGATAGAAAAGAACTTAGAGTACGGTCCGTTATTAACCGAAATATCCAAAAACTAACCACTCTGCTTAACATTCCTGAAACTCGGTTAAATTACGGACGCGGTTTCCTGAAAATAGTGACTCAACCGTCAATTCACTAACGGGTATGTTTTTTACGGTTACTATTAAGTTAAACGTCAATCTGTCACAAAAGTGGCGTGGTCCAAAAATAACCACCAACAAATTAGTTTTTTTCAGGAACCGCTGTCAAAAAATCCTGGTTAATTACGGTTATAGTCTATTTTTATGTATAAGAGAGTATTAAAATAACAAAGCGTGCGTAATCCATAGGCGTAGCACTTCTTTTAGTAGACAGTTAAAATATTTTTTGAAGTTATTTCTCGAGTATACACTTATATTTTCACCTAATTAACCTGCTTATAACTTCTAAACAGCTGAAGGTAAAAAAGTGCAATTTTTTCTAAAATGTTTTATTTTTCCACAAGGTATGTTAAGAACATTGTGTCAAACGGGTTATGTAGGTATAAGGGTTTAAACTTTGACTTTTAAACAACGTTACGTTCATAAATAATAATTTTAATATAAAAACTACTTCTTACCTACAAATCCAAATCAGAATCGAAATCAGAAGATGAACTGTCGCAACCAATATTTACAATGAGTGGCTCGATCATTTCATCAGTAATATTGTCCAACTTCCACATTTTCTCTTCTTCTTTAATCGTATGATTTACTGCCTTTTCCCAGTTTTCAGGCTTCACATTATTTACAGCCTTCAAAAACAACTGTTTAACATCACTCATTTTAAAAGAATTATTTTTTCTTGAAACTTCTCCCTTTATCTGTGCCCATATCAGTTCAATCGGGTTTACTTCGCAATGATATGGTGGTGATCTAACCACCGTCATCCCACAATGTTTTGCAATTTCATCAATTTCATATTTTTTGAATTTCTCTTTATGAAGGGAACACAAATCATACAGTTCTTTTCTCACAGAACCGGGATGGAACTTAATATTCTTTGAATTTAGCCAATTCTGTAAATCTTTTTTTAACCACTTGGTTGTGGGCATTTTTTCTATAAGTCTCGAGTGATAACCTGCATTATCCATTACTATTATACAGTTCTGAGGAAGAAGATCTATAATTTGTTCGAACCACTCTTTAAAGACATCAGCATTCATGTCCTCATGGTAGTCACCGGTACGAGTAGATTCAAAAGTCAATAAACCGTTTGAACTACCGATGTGTACTAGTATTAGTCTGCGTCCCTTTCCTGATGGTGGATTTAAACCAGTAGATAAATTATTTAAAAAAGCCTGTCTTCGACTTGTAACAGTTTCATCTTGCCAAAATTTATTTGGTTTATGTCCCTCGTTGATCCATGTTTCATCTAAATAAAATATATTTCTTCTTTGGTTTCTCATTTCTTTTATATTCCTTAGGTAATTTCTTCTCCATACTACAATATCGCGTCTTTCTATTAAAATAGACTTTCTGAAATGCTTTTTCCATAGAAAACCTATTTCTTTTAAAAGTTTCCATAGTGTGCTTCGACTCATTTCAGGGTAATCCTTATCATCTCGAACCGTGGCAAAAACTTTGTCTACTATCGGAAATTATTTTCTAAAGAAGCACGCATGCACTTTCTTTCGAAGTCTTTCTTTCAAAAGATTTTCTAATTGAAATTTT